TACACAGTATATATATATAGGAATATCGTACAATAATAAATTGTTCACTATAATAAGCAAATGAGAGTGAATTTCAGTTGATTTCATGTTGACTTTAACTTTCATAATGTACCAGAATATATAATGAGGAAAAATGCATGTTAAGACTTATAGGCTTATGTTTGATGAGAGTAATGAATGTGAAAGGCCCAGATGCACTTTTGGCGAAGCGAGAAGCAGTGGTATGCAGTTGTAACTGTTAGCACATGTTTGGCACAACTCATGACAATCTCGCTACTGTGCTCAGCAACATGCATTTACTGCTATGCAGCACATACACACTTCTCATTAATGTACTTTGGCTGTGGTGAGCAATAACTGCAGAAAATCACTGAAGGCCTTCTGTTTAAATTACAACACATTTATAGAATAACACTGACAATATACATTATATATATATGACAATATATATTATAGAAAATAAAAAGAGTTGTTTTATGTAGCATTAGACATAAAAAAAAACGGATACATTGGTGCACTAATAAAAAATACATTTCACATATTTCTTGTTGGTTGTCATGATCAGAAACAAATTAAAAACAAATTAAACTCTTATTAAAATCATAAATAGCTTAACTGAGTACATTTATAAATGTATTAAAACTGTATTATTAATAAATTAATGCATGTATACTTTATTTAAATAAATAAGAATAAAATATTAATAAATATTAATTAATACATTATTTTAAAAAATATATTTATTTTTGGACTAATTGGAATAAATCTGACATGGTAGAATTTGAACATTTAAATACATATAAATAAATCATATTTATTTGTTATTTAAATATCATTATGAACATGTCATATTAACATTAAAATCACATTATTATTATTTTTTTTATTATTCTGCTCAGTGTTGTTCTTGTCAAATAAAACTAAAATGAACTATTTTCTTGGCAACTAACTGAAATAAAGTTTAAAATAAAGTACAAACATATAAAAACAAAACCTACTAAAATGAGAAAAGCACATAACTATTTACAAAAAAAATAGAATAATTTCTAATAAATGTTTAACTATTTAATGTTGTATTTACATATTTTACCTTTTTTAAGTTATATAACACTTTCAATGGTTTTAACTCACTGTCCTCAGGTTCAGAAGGCCCGTCGTAAGACTTGTCGATGGCGTATCTGAAGCTGAGGTTGCATCCTCGGCCTCTCACCATGTGCGCTGGTGGACGATGGAAGGGCACTTTGTCCTTACCGACCTCCTCCATCGCTGTCTGGAGACTCTCCAGAGAACTGGACTTCTGCAGACCTAACCTGGGTCCCAGCGCCATCCCGTTAGAGGAGAGGGGTTCTGACACAGGGACATGGACGGATGTCAGTGATGGGAGGATGGAGGATGGTAATGAAAGGTGAAGCTTTGAAAATCAGGGCAAGATTAGAAACAGTGTATAGAGAGTCCTGCTGAAAAGACCAGCACCATCAAATATTATGAAACGGCACATCGGGACTAACCAGCCTGGACCATCAAGAAGATTTCCACTGGTCTGAGCTGATCTTTTCAAACAGGGTGGTCACAAGTTGTGAATTGAAAATGCAATAGTTGTGTGGTGAGCTGAGCTGAAAGTCTAATGGATTTGGACGCATTCAAAGAACAGACGGAGATGAAATATGTAAAGACGGCTGTAGGATGGAGGGTGGATGATGAAACCTCAAGGTGAGGGTGAAAGAGCATCACCGAATAAATGAGGCGTTGCAAACGCGGACCAGACGTGCAGGAATACTAAACAGAAAAGTAGTTGTAGAAGTAGTCCAGGGGTGAGGAGCATTAAATGAAGCACTGAGAGATGAAGAACAACTGTGATTCCATAAGCAATGCAAACCACTGAGAACAATGACACCAGGAGCAGGAGGAGAAGGTGAGGGGTTACAACAAGCACAAACAAGAGAAGAAAATGGAGGAATAGCACAAACACTGAAAGGGCAAAAGAAAGTCGGGGAAAAGATAAAAAAAAAAGAAGTGCGTGGTGATTGAGAGGTAAAAAGTGGCATGCAGGAAAGAGCACATCATGATTTAAATGAATGCTTCAGCCAAAAACTAAAACTCTGTCATCGTTTACTCACTTTCATGTCGCTCCAATCAACACAAATGGAGAAGTTTTCAAATTTCCCCTTTTATGTTTTTTCAGATGAAAAACAAATTGGGTTTGGAAAGACATGAGGGTGAGTAAACGATGACAGAGTTTTCATGTTTGGCTCAAGTATCCCTTTAAGAAATACTTTTGTTCGCAAACCAGCAATGAAAATGTGTATACAAAAGAATAAATCAATAATCCACTGAAGGACACACATCATTTTACTACAGCTAAATAGAGTTTCTAGGCACAAAACAAGTTGAACTGTGGTAAAATCACTGTAAACATTTAACATCTAACTTTTACAAACCATAAGCAAAATCATAAAATACACCATTAATAGTGGAAAAACGGTGGAAATGACACCAAACTGTGAGACAGCTCATTTCACTACTTTTATATTTTCTAAATATTACAATGCGAAAAAATGTTTTAAACCTTTTTAAATGTACTGTTTATTGTCAATCTTACTCTCTCTCTCTCTCTCTCTCTCTCTCTATATATATATATATATGTAATGTAGCAAAAATTAAGGATGATGATGGCATAATGTTTGAGTCAGTATTAATGTGGCTTTAAAATTACAAAATGAAAGCTCAAATCTGGTATTTTTCATAAAAAACAATCCCTGGCACAAAACAAAACAAAAAACAAAACAAAACAAAACAAAAACAAAAACAAAACAAAATCCAGTTGAATGAAATGCTTATATACCGCATTTTAAAATTCTGGGGTCTGCAAGGTTTTTCTTTATGTTTTTGAAAAAAAAAGTATCTTCTGTTCACTAAGGCTGCATTTATTTAATCAAAAATACAGTAAAAATCGCAATATTGTGAAATATTAAAACAAATTAAAATAACTGTATGAATATATTTTAAAATGTAATTTATTCCTTTGATCAAAGCTGAATTTTTAGCATCATTTCTCCAGTCTTCAGTGCCACATGATCCTTCAGACATCATTCTAATATCCGGATTTGCTGCTCAAGAAACATTTCTGATTACTATCAATGTTGAAAACAGTTGTGCTGCTTAATAATTTTGTGGAAACAGATTTTTTTTTCAGGATTCTTTGAATAAAAAAAGGAAAGTTCAAAAGAACATTATTTGAAATAGAAATCTTTTGTAATGTTATAAATGTCTTTACTGTCACTTTTGACCAATTTAATGCATCGTTTCTGAAAATGATAATTATTTATTCATTTTTTAAATCGTGCTGACCCCAAACTTTTGAACCATAGTGCATATACAATTTAAACTCAAAACTGGTTGCAGCAAATTCCACCTGCCTTCAGTCTCATAAATGTAATTACCGACTAAATATGTCTAAATAAACAAACTCTGGGATCCATGACCGGTCCTTGTTCTGGGATTTCATAATGCATAAATTAAGCACTGGATACATCTATTTCACTTCCATGAAATGCAGCTGTAATCGGTAGGATCTAAGCAGTGAAATGTTTAAAATGTAGTTTTCATTTCCACATGCATGCCGACACACATAAACACACGACACAGATGGCCCTCTCTGGGACGCTTGCATAAATCAATCTAAACCAGCACAACATGCCTGCTCTCAACCTGAATCAACAGCAAACTAGACGAGCGAGAACAGAAACAGACCGAGAGAAACGACAGCGAGACGGGAAAGTCATTTGAATGGCTTCTTAGGAAATAAAACGGTAATTGGCGAAGTCTCTCCGGCAGACAGATACCTGTATGCTGCCATTATCACAAAAAGGGAAAATAATGAGACAAAGAGCAAAACAAACAAATCAGCAGAAGCAGCGCTGCAGGGCCGAACAGTAACTGGGCGACTGCCATGCAGCTCCTGGAAGAAGAGGAAGAGAGATGAATTGGAGGATGTTGAACTGTGAACTAAAGCGCCGCAGAGCCTGTGAGCAACGCAGCCTCTATGAGTGGTCTTCATTTGGACGAGAGGGGCTGCAGGAAAATGTAGGTGTGTTGGAGGGAAGCCAGCGAAAGAGAGAGAGAGAGAGAGAGCGCTGCCTCCAGCATCTTTCATCTATCCTCTTAATGGACATGTTCTCCTCTCCTGTGGACCGAGACTCAGCTCTTCATTGTACCAACTACGCACACACACACACACGCAAACATACACGCCTCGCTTTGTTTGCAAGAAGGAGAGTTATACTTCACTAATGTGTGCACAAAAACAATGGAAGTAGTCGAAATGAAATCAAAATTGACCTGGTTTACTTTCTTAATTCTTTTCATGCCTGTTTCAACTGTGCACTTCAGGAATTGCAACATAAAGTGTGGTTAAAATCGCAGTTTAAGAACAACTATTTGACCTTTATGCAAAAATCAATTCAGAGGTCAGTGACTGTTGAGCTTCTTCTGACAGCTTTTACCTATAATATTCAACTTGGAAAATATTTAGCTTGGAAAGTAGCAGAGATAGAGAATACGAAAATAGGACAAGCACATTGTTATGGGTATGTGCGTTCTTGTGACTGGTGGAGTTCATATTTGGTTATAAACAGTGCAAGGAATGGATATTATTTATATACAGTGGTGCGAAAAAGTTTTTGCCCCCTTCCTGTTTTTTTTATTGTTTGCATATTTGTCACACTTAAAAGATTCAGATCATCAAACAAATTTTTATATTACACAAAGATAACCTGAGTAAATACAAACTGCAGTTTTGAAATTATGATTTCATTTATTAAGGGAAAAAAGCTGTCCAAAAAAAAACAGGAAGGGGGCAAAAACCTTTTCACGGCACTGTATATCCTATCTGCAATAAAATATAAAATAAAATTACATTTAAAAAAAAGCTGAATTTACATGCTAAAAAGAGAAAATTGCTTGTTTTTAATGAAATAATGCAAGCTTAGCTAGTTAATGAAAATGAAAATATGACACATTTTATGGGTATGTAAATTTTTGTGACTGGTTGAGTTCACATCTTGTAAGGAAACAATGAATGGATATCAGTTAAAGAAAACTTAGTTGCTTAAAAATAAAATAAAATAAAATAAAATAAAATAAAAAAATAAAATAAAATAATGCTTTTTATTTTATAAATAAAATAAAATGCATTTACAAATAAATGCAAATTTAATGAAACAATGCAGGATACAGTTTCATGGTAATTCACCATTAAAAAATATTTATTTAAATATTTATATACTCTTTATAGAAATAACGGATTATGGCTTCCAGGATACAATTTTCACAGGCAGTCATATGATTTGTGACTTAGCATAAAGGGAACATCACATGAGTGCAATGTTTTTTGAGGTTGCTTAAGGTTAGACTGATGGATAAACTGCATAATAAGTCATAACTCACTATAATTTTTTTATTAGGAAAAAATAACTAGAAAATGACCTTAAGCAATTAATTTTTACTAAAACATTTAGTAGACACCACAAAAACCTAATAATAACAGGACCTGCATAATGCTGGACTAGATTGTGAATTTACAGGAAAAAATAAATAAAAAAATACAACATTTACTGCAAAGCAGATGCAAGAAAAGAGAGAGAGGTCTTGGAGTGCCGCAGTGGTTGGCTTGGCTGGCCCTAGCTGAGGGTTTTTAGTCAGATTAAACTCAGAGCGGCCACGTCTTCAAGACCATCCTAATAATGAAATATGTCAGAGCATATAAAGGAGTCTGGCGTAGGTAGAGCGTGCCAGAGGGAAGAGAGAAAAATGAGTGCGTCAGCAGAACAGCCTGCAGCCTGTCAATATCTATCGGATCCCACATCTGTAAAACTACACTCCAATCAGCCTTCCATGTATTTATCATTGTCCCCGACCCCTGAGAAGTATACAAAAGCGTCATGTGTAGGCTATGCATGTAAATTGGACTGTGTATGTTTTTTATGCATGCACATGCTGTGAGCGCTGCTAAAATTCAGTCTTAATTGTGTGCATGTGGTTTTGATTATGATGTAATTTATGATCCAATGCCAAGTGTTTGAGTGTATGCATACAGTAAATCTGTGATCAAGTTTTGTACTATGTATATATAAATCTATAAAATATATATAATAAAGCTATAAATATAAAATATATAAAACTTCACATTCTCTCTCTCTCTCTCTCTCTCTCTCTCTCTCTAAATATATATATATATAATTATTGTTTTTATTATTATTGGTGTAACAGTAGGATATTTCTTAACTTCCATGTGGTATTCCAAGGCTGTGCAGTTAAGCCAATAATAATAATAATAATCATTATTATTATTAGGGGTTCAAGCATGCAGTGCTGAAACCCTATTGTAATTGTTAGGATTTTTATTATTATTATTCCCTAAAACTGATCGTGCAGCCCAAACCGTAAGGCCTTGGAACTTGGTCAAAAGGTAGTAGTCATGCTCGCTACTCGGGCGCAAAGAGCCGGCCCAATCGGCCAATAGGGGGCGCTACAGCGATCAAAAACACAAAAGCCATCATAACTCCTACACCGTTTGTCGTAGACTCAAGTGTCTTATATCATTGGATTCCTTGG